TGTGTGTCTGTGTGTGTCTGTGTCTGTGTCTGTGTCTGTGTCTGTGTGTTCCTAAATACAACCTGTTTGGTCTGTATATATTACTTGTATGACTATTTGGTATTGGATAACTATTGGGAGCCAGACTGACCCAAGACTTTCTCAGAAACCCTGATGAAAGGACAAAGGGAAAGTTAGTTATGAATCCTTATCCAGGAGTGGACTTGGCAAGGCCAATCTGGGTACAAGGACAAATATTTAGAATATTTAGGGATTGTGCTGGTTTAGCAGAGTTGGGGGTTTAGGTTCTCCTCCAAGATCCATGATTTCACTAGCCCTGAGTAATTGGTTAGGTTTCCAGTACTAGACACAAGAGTTTCCTATTGCTGAGTTGGTCTTAAGCACAATTAAGTGTTACTGGTTACCATCAAGGTATGTATGCCACTATTGCACCCTAGGGTCATCATACCATGCTGGTTGTTGTCATGATTTGTAGACATCTGAAGCTAAATTGTTTTGTTGTTTTGGTTTCCAGTTTTTTTTGTTGTTATTGTTTTGGGTTGGTTTTTTTTTTGGGGGGGGGGTCTTTGGTTCTTCAAGACAGGGGTTCTCTGTGTAGCCCCGGCTGTCTTGGAACTCATTCAGTAGACTAGATTGGCTTCAAACTCAGAGATCAGCATGTCTCTGCCTCCTGAGTGCTAGGATTAAAAGGCATGTGGCACCATCCATCCAGCAATAATTCTTAATAAAAACATGTAAAATTCTTGTAAATTTTTCCATACTATCAGAAGTAGTTTTTCATATTCTTAGTTGTTTGAATTATGATTCCCCCTTCTTCCCTAACTCTCTTGAAAGAAAAGAAAGGAAGGAAGGAAGGAAGGAAGGAAGGAAGGAAGGAAGGAAGGGAAGGACAGAGGGAAGGAAGGAGGAAGGGAGGGAGAGGAGGATGTTGGTTGATTCTGCAAATGAACTGAACAAATATCTCATAGCTATGTAACTTAGTAATAGAGCACTTGATAATTGTTTTCTTTTATAATCAATAAAATAGTGATGTGTATTTTTCAACTTATAATTACACTGTATGGTTATAGTTCTGTGGATTTGTTAGTATTCACCAGCTTGTAAAACTAAGTTCAAGAGCTTACACATAAGCAAACTATGAAATACTGTTTAGTATTAGTAAAAAAAAAAAAAAAAAAAAAAAAAAAGCAAAATATGTATTAGTACTTCATCAGCATTTCCCCCTAGTCTGCTTCAGAATCTATTCTCTTGAATGGCTGTGACATTTGCATGCTGAAGTCACAATTCACACTACTGCTATTTTTATCCTATAAAAACTTCGAGAAGCATCCTTTCCTATGATAACAAGCACTAATACCTACAATCAAACTGTCAATCCCCAAATATACCTCTAGTGTCTAGATGGAACTCAGCTTTCTATTATTTAAGTATTTCCATTGTCAGCCACCTGAAGAGGATGCCAAAGAGTCCATCATGGCTTCTTTGAGTCTCCAGATTAATTATATGAAAAGGCTGATTTATTTGATTAATATCTCAAATTTATTACACAGATAATCATAATCTCTGATATAGCAATATGCTAAGAAGATTAGGCTCTCAGTCATCACCCCTTAATTTTATCTCTTACATACATGATCTCAAAGATTGTCAGATTACCAAAATGGAAAACCTCATAAGCACAGGACATTGAAAAAAGTAATCAGAAGCATCTGGGGAAATTCTGCACAAAAATTATAAAATGTTGCTTTGGTTCTACCAAACAATCTCAAAATTCTCAAAGAGAAGCAATATAAATAGGCCCAGAAGTGACACACTGGCAGAAATAGTACACAATGTCATGAATTCTATTGCCATAGAAAGAGAAATGTTAGAAGTTTGTTTTATGTTTTGTTTTGTCTTGCCATGTTTTTTTTTTTTTTTTTTTTTTTTTTTTTTTTTTTTTTTTTCCTGCTTTTTTTTTTTTTTTTTTTTTTTTTTTTGGTCACCCTGGTGATTGAACCTAGGGCCTTGCAAATGCTAAGGAAAAGATCTAACCCCTGAGCTATAAATAATAATAATAATAGAAGTCCTATATATGAGCACCACACACAAATAAATAAATGTGATACAAAATTAAAGCAATCACATATATAGGGACAGTAGCAAGGATAGCAAGGATGAACAGCAGCAATATCTTTAAACCACCTAAAAAAAACTACCAACACCAAACAACCTTACCAAAGACAACAAGAAAAAAGAAAAAAAGAAGACAACCTGCCAACCTGGAAGTCTAGGTTGTACAGAA